GGAACTGAGAGGGAAATTGAAAAAGAGGTAGCAAGTTGCAGTTTCTGGAGATGGCTTCTCTCAAGTATGAGGCCAAGATATCCATTCAAGGAAGATCTTGTGAACTACTCAGGAGAGTGGACTACTGCAGATGAAGGCATCCAGTCTCAGAGAATTAGCAGTGCTGGAAGTCATCTATAGTGATCTAGACAATGATGAGGTCTCCAAAGATCCAGGGGATGCCATGTGCATGTGGAGGAAAATGATTCACAGTGCCCCAGCATGCTATTCTAACAGCTTGGCAGTGACGTATTTCCCAGATATGGATACATCAACTGTGGAGAGAGCATCTTCTTGGCTCCAAAACTTTGAAGAAAATCTCTATCCCTCCTCATCCCTATGGGTCAGTGCCTTGGCTGTCAGGGATACCCCAAGAAGTCAGTCCCTTCCTGCCCTGGTCAGAGGGAAAGAGGCCATGTGGCACACTCTAGTTCTTGCTGCATGACCAGGGGGAGGACGACAGGCAGTGGGATGGTGAACCCATCTTTAAGCTGGAAGCCCATGTAAGCAAACTGAGAGGGAAGACAGTTGTTAAGAAAGGGCCACCCAAGAAGGCTGTCAGCTTTGTTTGTGTAGAGACACAAGAAGGCAATCAGCAGTCTCTCAGACATAGGAGGACTGAGATGACCTTCCTTCATCCTGGTCAGGGGACTTCTGGTCTGGCACTGAAAGGGTCAGACAGTGAATACTCTGGCCAGGAATAGGAATAGAGGGTCACTGCCTTTGGCCAGGAGGAGAAAAGGGACGATCGGATATACTGGACTGTGTGGATTCAGTGGCCTGGCGCATCAGTCCCGTGGCAGTATAAGGCTTTGGTAGACACTGATGCACAGTGTACACTGGAGCCATCAGGGTATGGGGGCACTGAACCCACCTGGATCTTTGGAGTGACAGGGGGACACCAAGAATTGTCTGTATTAGTTTAACAGGGGACAAGTGGCAAAAGTACACCATTGTGACTGGCCCAGAGGCCCCTTGTATCCTTGGCATAGACTACCTCAGGAGAGGGTAATTCAAGGATACCACAGAGAAGATCAAACAGCTGTCTACCCTGCCTGACCGGTCAGAAGATCCCTTCAGTGGGGGATTGCTGTGAGTTGAAGAACAGGCGGCGTCAGTTCTACCAGGACAGTACACCGGCAGCAGTATCACACAAACCGAGACTCCCTGGCCCCCATCCAGGAGATGGTGCATCAATTGGAAAGCCAAGGAGTGATCAGCAAGACTCACTCACCTTTTAATAGTCCCATATGACCAGAGCAAAGTCTGATGGAGGGTGGAGGTTAACAGCAGACTACCGTGGCCTGAATGAAGTTACACCAGCAATGAGTGCTGCTGTACCAGATATGTTAGAGCTCCAGTATGAGCTGGAGTCAAAGACAGCCAAGTGGTATGCTACAACTGGCATCACCAATGCATTTTTTTGCAATTCCTTTGGCAGCAGAATGATGGCCACAGTTTTAATTCACCTGGAAATAACTTCCCCAGGGATGGAAGCACAGTCCTGTCATGGACTAATTCAAACTGCACTGGAAAAGGGTGATGCCCCTCAACATCTACAACACATCAATGACATCATCATGTGGGGCAACAAGGCAGAAGTGTTTGAGAAGGAAAAGAGAGTAATTCAGTTTAACGTCTTTGCTAGTGACATGGACAGAGTGCACCAACAACACAGAGCTGTGTGGTGCAGTGACACGCTGGAGGGAAGGGATGTGCCATCCAGAGGAACCTGGACAGGCCGGAGAGGTGGGATGTGCAAACCTCACAGAGTTCAAGAAGGCCAAGGGCAAGGTCTTGCCCATGGGTCTGGCCAATCCCAAGCACAGATACAGGCTGGGCAAGGAGTGGATTGAGAGCAGCCCCAAGGAGAGGGACTTGGGGATATTAGTGGATGGAAAACTGACTGTGAGCCATCAGTGTGCACTCACAGCCCAGAAAGCCAACCGTGTCCTGGGCTGCATCAGGAGAAGTGTGGCCAGCAGGTACAGGGCTTTGCTCTGCTCTCGTGAGCCCCCCCTGCAGTGCTGGGTCCAGCTCTGGGGGCACCAACATCAGAAGGACACGGACCTGCTTGAGTGGAGACAGAGGAGGCCACAAAGATGCTCAGGAGCACCCCCCTGTGAGGACAGGCTGAGAGGGTTGGGGGGTTCAGCTGGAGAAGAGAAGGCTCCAGGGAGAGCTTAGAGCGGTCTCACAGGACTGAAAGGGGCTACAGGAAAGTGGGGAGGAAGTGTAGGGATAGGACAAGGGGTAATGGTTTTAAACTGGAAAAGGGGAGATTTAGATTAGATTTAAGGAAGAATTTATTCACTGTGAGGGTGGTGAGGCCCTGGCACAGGCTGCCCAGAGAAGCTGTGGCTGCCCCCTCCCTGGAAGGGTTCAAGGCCAGGTTGGACGGGGCTTTGGGCAACCTGGGCTAGTGGAAGGTGACCCTGCCCATGGCGAGTGGGTTGGAACCAGATGATCTTTAAAGTCCCTTCCAACCCAAACCATTCTGTGATTCTATGATCCTGAAAGCTAGAGTCACCATAAAAAGAAGCCAGGTCAAGAGGGCTGCACAGGAGATTCAGTTCTTGGAAATAAAATGGCAGGATGGACACTCTCATGTCACTATGGATGTGATCAGCAAGATAGCAACTATTTCTCCACCAGCTAACAAGAAGGAAACACTTGCTTTCTTAGGCCTTGTGAGATTCTGGAGCATGCATTTTCCAGATTATAGTCAGTTTGTGAGACCTCCTATTGAGTAACTGTCCTGGTTCAGCCAGGATAGAGTAAAGTTTTCCCCAGCAGAGAGAGAGGGGGAAGGGATCTCCAGCCGGGTTATTCATACCATGCTGACATCAGGTCCAGGGGCGGAACCTTTTCCTTGCTCCTTGGTGGGTACGGGAGGGAATTTTGCTTTCCGTAAACCAGCTAGTGGTATTTCTCTATATATCATTTGTCTTGTTCACTGTTATTGCTGTTTATTGTTCTTACCATTGATACTGTTGTTATTCAGATTGTTCTATCACTCTGTTGTATTAAATTTCTTCTTATTTTAGCCGGGGTCTGTGTCTAACTTCCAGCCCGACCGGCTGCGGGTGGGGGAAGGGCAACGGCCACGTGGTCCCTGATCCCAGCAACGATTAAAACTTGCACAGTAACCCAAAAGAACTATTTAGAGTGGGGCCTTGAGCAACAACAAGCCTTTGAGCACATCAAACAGGAGATAGCTTGGATGATAGCTCTTGGGCCTGTCCAGAGAGGACCAGCTGTGCAAAATGTACTCTACCCTACAGCTGGGGAGCATGGTCTTACCTGGACCCTCTGGCAGAAAACACCAGGAGAAATCCAAGGTCAACCATTAGGGTTTTGGAGCTGTGGATATGCACAAGAGGAACCGCCATGTAATTTGTCAGAAGGTGAAAGGCATTGTGCTTTGTTTACTGATGGGTCCTGTCATGTTGTAGGAAACCACCAGAAGTGGAAAGCTGCTGTGAGGAGTCCCACACAACAAGTTGTTGAAGCCACTGAAGGAGAGGGTGAGTCAGTTTGCAGAAGTGAACATCATGCAACTAGCCCTACGGATTGCTGAATGAGAAAGGTGGTCAGTGCTTTATCTCTATACTGACATAGCCCACTGATGGGAAGTAGAGAATAAATCTTTCATTTTCCCTTATTTCCATGTGCAGCCTTCATTTCTGCTTTATTAAACTGCCTTTATCTTGATCCGTTTGTTCCTTTTCATCTTATTTTCGCTGCCTCATCCTGCTGAGGAGGGGAGTGATAGAGCAGCTTGGTGGGCATGTGGTGTCCAGCCAAGGTCAATCCACTCTAGATGCCAAACAGGTTGTCACCCAGCTCAGTGAGCACAGACCCCAGGAGCCAAAGTTGCCCAGATGAGCGGGTGACTCTCTAACCTCTCCCAGTGCCTGTGGCTCAGCCTGGGAGCACGTGGGGGCCCCTTGAGCACAGTCAGCTGGGGCCACTAGCCCTCTGTCTTCCTTGGATGTGCTGTAGGGACATGCTGTCTGCCCTAAACCCTGCAGGCAGCATCCCCTGAGGCGTTGGTGCTTGCCAGCCCTGCCCCGGGTGGTCCAGGGTGTCAGGGCACAGCAGAGCACCGTGCCCCTCTTGCCTGTCCTGGTAGCTCTACCTCACTCAGGAGGTGTCTTGCCCCTCCTGGCCTTGGTATTCCAACAAGCTAAATTAGATCGCCAATTAATAAATAATAACAAATAATGGGATTAAATGGCTGCTGAAGCAGGGGGAGGTGTGCCGTGCTCAGAGGCTCGGCCCAGGGGCGGGTGGCCCTGGCAGGGCTGGTCCGGCGCGAGCCCCAGGCAGTGGTGTGGGCCTGGGCTGCCGTCTGTACCAGCAGCACCCTGCGCTTCTGGGCCTGGACCTGGCGCGCACGTTGATGCCCCAGATACACACCGAAGGAGGATGTCCATATTGCCTGGGCATCCCTGGCCCCAGAATACCAACACCACCCTCAAGCCCTCACCCTGCCGCCCACTCCGCACCCCACTATGCGTCTCTTGTTCCCCGTCTCCTCTGACAGATCACCAAGGCCAGTATTACTATAATCCCTGGCTTACTTTAAATCCTCCTCCCAGCTCATGTTTTTCCAGGGGGGAGGAGAGAATCAATGCACTTTTGCGGCACTTGCTTGGCCCTGGGGCTGGTGCTGAGTTCAGATGGCCAAGACATGCTGGCCATCCACGTGAGGGGCTCTTTTCCCCACAGGGGTGTCTTGTGGCCCACAGCGAGTGGTGTCCCCAAGTTTCAGAGCTGTCTCTGGGTGTGCACCAGGCACTGGTAGGAAGAAAAGCTGCTGTCTCTGGGCGAGGCAGGTGGCTCCTGGCGGGGTGCAGCCTCCTCGGCCTCTCCGGCCCTGTGGGTTTGGCGAGGGCCGGGCAGCCGAGCAAGGGCCCGCCGGAGGGTCTCGCCTCAGGCCGAGCGAGGAGCTGGGGTGGGGTAGCGAGGCCCATCCTTCAGCTCCCGCACCCCGCTGTCTTTATATGCAAACAGGTGTTGGCGTCTTGCGTGAGGGGTGTCGGTCGTGCTGCAAGTCGAGGTCGGCCTCCGAAATCTCTAGTGAAGGGCTGATGGGAGGATGCAGGTTGCAGGCTGCGTTGGTAACGTGGGTGTCGTGGGTAGCAGCGTGCCCATCGGTGTCACGGCTGTGTCGTGCCCGCTGGCCTGCCGGGCTCTGGAGTAGCCTCGCGTAGCACATTACGAGTTTTTAAAGCGTCTGCTCGTCACTTGCTAACAAACCGTTTCTAAATGGAAACTCTTGTCAGGGCTGATGGTGTGTGTCAGGAAGCGTTTTTGTGACGGGACAGGGACCACCTTAAATCCCACTCAGCAAGGGTTTGGAAAAGGAAGAGCAAGGTTTTTGAACAGCTCACCTGATGAGGGGAGAGTTTCCCGAAGCCATCAGCCCCAGGGAGCTATGCTGCAATTCCTGTTTGTCTCTTGTGCTATTTACATTTTGGTCTTTGCTTTAGAACCACTGGGTTGCACAGATGCTTCTCAGATGTCCCATGGCACATCAGGTTAGTTCAGCTGTGCTTGATTTGGGGTGTGTTTTTCTGCAGGGGAAGTGAAATCTGTGAGCCTTGAGTTAGTGTCTGCACTTTCCATGGAAACGTAACTTGAAACAGAAGCAGAAGTTTCTGATTTTGGCTTTGTGGTAAGTGCTGGTTGAAAGAGCTGTAAAAAGAGCAGAAGCAATGTTGAGCAGGCCCCCCCACGATTAATGCAGAAAGTGGGTTTTGACCTGAAAGTCAAAAGTCAGAACAGGAGTGCTGATCTGAGCAGTGTTGAATGCTCCTGGTCTGGTTGGTTGGAGGCGGGTCTGGTGGTGTCATCACTGAGCAGCACTACGTGTCCACACCCTTCCCAGGAATGTTGGTAGCAGGTGTAAGCAAGCTAGACTTCATCTCTTTTCATACCAGGCTCTTGCCAACTGGCTCACTCTTCTGGTTAGCAGATTCAGGTATGTGTTCAATCCTCAGATCGGATTCCAGAGTGTGTGGGTAGGCAGGCCAAGCACATCAAAGCTATTGGTATCCCCTGGATTGAGGGGAGACATGGGTTATGCAGCTTGTGCACTCATGCCAGACCTCCTTCAATTTATAATTTTCTTATTTGAGTTTATCATCTGTAATGTACTGGCTCTGCCCTGGACAGAAATGGGCTGTGTTCTATCCTACTTAGGGCAAGGAAAACACTCTCTGCAATGTCTTGTTCTTGCCTGTTTTATTCCAGCCATCAGTGCTACTCTTCGAGCTTCCTAGAGCTGTGGTAGTGTTCTTCCAACCTGGGTCCCATTATGAAACATTACAAATTGAAAGGCAGTGCACCGAGTGCAGCTCTGGCAACCTTGCTGACTGATGTTTGTTTTGTAGTGACTGTTATGCTGGAGGAAGGTGTTCCCTGGTCAGTCCTGGAGACAGAAGCTCTGTATTTCTAGAGCAGGTACAGTACAGACAGCAGCCAAACAAACCTCTTATTCTATGTCAGGCCTTTACCTTTGCTTGCAGAATGTCCCTGGGAGGGGGAGGACTGTTTGGCACTTGGCCTTTCTCTTGTGACCGCTGACTGTGGTGCTGGGGTTGTTGCAATGGAAACTTACAGCTGTGCCATAGCAGACTGGCCTGCAAAGAGCATTGCCAGAAAAGAGGAGCAGAGGAGCTGGGTCTCTGTGCCTGAGAAACCCCTTCTGAGCTGCAGAGCTCATGCAGAAAACAAGTGCAGCTCCACTTGTAAGGTGAGTCAGCATTCTTGGGGTGATTAAGAACTGGTTTGCCAGATGATTTGTATTGATGTTAGGCCTGTTCATCTTTTATATCCTTCCGGTAGAGCAAGTCAGATAGGAGGAATTATTTAGCTAGTGATTGTACAGTGGAAAGGAAGGCCTGGTGATGGTGATCCCTGGTGATTTTGCTGTTTCTGTGATAGCCTCAGAACACAGGCCAGAAGAGATGTTTAACTAGTGATGATGGTGTGTTTGGAAAAACTAGACAAGTTTTCAGATACAAAGTTTTCACCAAAAAGTGGTATAATTGACACTAAACTCTCAACGGGTGTTCTCACCTGGTGTTTATAGTGGTGACTTCTGTTCTGCTTCTGTTTTGGACCTGATGGAGGACTTGTGTGCCTGAAAACTTGCCCAATTTCCAGCTCTAATATCTAGTAAGAGAAGTTACCTCCTATATACAAATTTTTTTCAGAAATTGGAATGGAAATAGCATGTTCTGATCTTCTGTGTGTAACTTTCTGCAGAATCCACAAGTCAAATAGCTATTTTGTACTATTTCTGAACCCTGCAGATTGCCTTGATACGGCGCCGCTCCGTCCTGCTGCAATGAGTGGGAAGTCCTTACTCTTAAAGGTCATTCTCCTTGGGGATGGTGGAGTTGGGAAAAGCTCCCTCATGAACCGGTATGTCACCAACAAGTTTGACTCGCAGGCTTTCCACACGATTGGTGTGGAGTTCTTAAACCGGGACCTGGAGGTGGATGGACGTTTTGTGACCCTCCAGATTTGGGACACTGCAGGACAGGAGAGATTCAAGAGTCTTCGAACTCCCTTCTACAGGGGAGCAGACTGCTGCCTTCTGACCTTCAGTGTGGATGACCGTCAGAGCTTCGAGAACCTCAGTAACTGGCAGAAGGAGTTTGTCTATTATGCTGACGTGAAGGACCCTGAACACTTCCCATTTGTAGTCCTGGGCAACAAGATAGACAAACTCGAGAGACAAGTGAGCACAGAGGAGGCCCAGGCCTGGTGCATGGAGAACGGTAACTATCCGTACCTGGAGACTAGTGCCAAGGATGACACCAATGTGGCAGTGGCCTTCGAGGAGGCTGTGCGACAGGTGCTGGCGGTGGAGGAGCAGCTAGAGCACTGCATGCTGGGCCACACCATTGACCTGCATTCCAGCTCCAAGTCAGGCTCTTCCTGTTGTTAAGGGTGGCTGCTGCTTCGGGAACGTCACTCGAGCTGGCGGCTGGATCGGAATAAGCACAGGCAGCTCTGGGGCACTCTGAGGAGAGGGGCCACAAGGACAATAGGTGTTTTTGCTCACTGGGGAGTTGCAGCCTCACCATCTGAATTCTGGCTGGAATTTTTGGGCACAGAGCATGTATCTGCAGGAGGGAGCTGTTAAAGGAGCATGTGAGTGTAGTCCTGCTCCCATCTCTGCCTGTTGTAGCAGGATTAAAGGACTGGATTAAAGTCCTTTAAAGTCACTAAAGACAGTAGTGATCTGATCTGCACCAAGAACTACCTGCAGAGCAAAGCTGAGAGCTCTCCAGACACTCTTTGAAGTATTTTAGTCCTGAACTCAAAAGAAATACTAGACCCACTAAACTCATGACCTTACTGCCAAAGGAAAGTCTGCTCAACTTACTGAACAAAACCTGTTGTATAACCCATGCGACTGTGAGAATGCCAAATACTAGAGTGGCTGAGAGTGTGTATCTGTTGTCTGGGGTAAGTGCTTTGTGTCCTGAGACTCAGTTGTGCTGAGAGTTGTTAGAGCTCTGATCTGAAGCAACACACAAAAGAGAGATGGACCTGTGTCTGAGTGTGGCAGCATCGCTTCTTTGTAGCTGCCTTTTTCTGGTCTGTTTTTCCTCACCTCTGTCTTGTGCGAGTGTCATTTTGTGGAGAGACTGTCTGCTTCTTGTTTATTATATGTTTCCTTGTCTCTTGTGGAGGCTCAACACCGGATCTCACTTCTCAAACCTTGAAGCCCTGGATGAAAAATACCGATGTGGACACTTGCTGTGTCATGTCAACGGGTTTAGAGTTACTCAGGAGTTCAGGAGATCTGGAGCATGAAACTTCAGCTGGTTTCTGTCACAAGTAATTGCTCTGTCCAAATGATATGCTCTAGCAGCCCAGATGGTGGGTGGGTGGGATGTCTCCTAGGTGTGCAGGTGGCTGGGAGAGTCATGCGTGGTCAGCTGTTAAATCCACTCACTGGGTGTGCAGGGCCAGTGACCACCATGCCTCATTAGTTGGCACATCAGCACCTTCAGTTGCTTTAGCAGGGGTGTTCCCATCTGAATGCTGCGACATAGAACCATTCACTTTATTTCCTGTTGTGTCAAGTGCAGCGCTGCTGAACACAGTTAACTCATGTCATTGTCCTGGCCCTTGCTCCCTAATGGGGAGTTCGGTACATTTTATTGGTAATTCATACAACCAACTTCACTGGTAGAGGATGTCCGCTGTGTTAACTGGCCTTTGTTAGTGGCTGCTGTGCTCAGTCCACTGGGGAGAGAGCTGCACTGCTTCCACCTCTGTTCAAGGTGCCTGAGGCAAGGAACCTTCTAGAAAAGGATGCCAGGCTTTGCTGATCCCAGCTCCTGCCCCCCGCTAGGTGTTAGTCCCAAGCCGTCTGTGTAGCAGAGATGAGTGCTTGCTGACTGCTGTCATTACCATTATAACCTCATGTCCTGCAACTTCCCATGCAAGCGTTTGTACAAAAGTATGACTTTGCCCATAAGCACATAGGAGCCTGCCGTGGGGAGAGCTTCCCCGAGTACATATCCTCTAGCTGCTGGATGTGATTCCCACTGTGACGTAGCTCAAATCAAGCAGCCTGTGCTTCGGAGCAGGGCAATCTCTGCCTTGGTGCTGGCTGGTGGCAGCTAATCCCCATCACCGAGCAGTCTCTGAGCATGCAGGGAGTCTCCTCGGGGGGAACTCGGGGTGATCCTGCCTTTTTCTGCAGGGCAGCCACATGTGGAAGGGACTGAAGCTTTAATGCAAAGTGCTTTAGAAGGATCTGATTTCTAAACAGGGCTGAACACTCATATTCACCAGGATAGATAGGAAGTGCTTGCAGTCTCTGGAAAACCGGGTCCCTCAAGGTGTAGAAGGCTCTGCCTCTGTAGGTGCAACAGATTTTTATAGGATTAAAGTCATTGTTACTGTTTATTTACCAATGTCTGTTTATTTACCAGTGTCTGTCTTCCCAGGCCTCTAGATTTTTCTTCAGTTTGGCGCTGCTTGATATTTCCTTCAAGATTGCAGACTCTGTGATCTCTGGTTCCGATTTACACATTCCTGCGGAGCTGGTTTGCGCAGGGGCCCGGGCTTGGACCCAGCTCAGGCCCTTGTGTGCTGCCCGGCCCTGCCAGAGGGGCTGCTGCGGGAGCTCCCTGCAGCTGATGCTGCTCCTTCCCCGGTGCGGCTTTAAGGGGGTCTGTGTGAGGACTGGCATCCCCGGGAGAGGGCAGAGACTGCCCAAGATGTGCTGTGGAAAGCACGGGTGCAGCATGCTGTTTGCAGTACCCTGGGTGTGTGTTGATGCTGACAGCTGAAGCTTGAGAGCCTCATTGTGCACAGGCTGTGCAGACAGTGTGTACTGCTGGAGGGTGTTACACAGCATCTTTCATTCCTAACAGACATTGGATCGTTGTTTTTTTTTTTAAAGCCACCTATTTTATTAGGCCTAGGTGTTTTACAAATCAATTTTAAAAAGTATAGTATATTTAAATTGTTTAAATTATTTAAAATGATACGCACAATTTCCAAAGGAGACAGGATTTTGAACTCTTGTTGCAAAGTTCAGTGCCAACAGCCATCCCCTCCCTGTGTCCACTCATGCTGCTGCGGTTGTTGCTATTGCTACAGAACTGGAATTGTAAAACCGAGATTCTACCTTTATTTAAGCAAATAAAACATGGATGTATTCAAGTGAATTCAGGAAGTGGCTGCTGCCTTGGTTTATCAAAGTTCAAGTTGGCTCCTTTTCTCCTGAAGGATGTGGAACAGGGTTGGTTATAGCATCTGGCAGAGAGAAGTCACTAAGGGATCAGAGGGGTTGGTTATTCCTGAATGTACCTTGTGAGACCAGGAGCTGAAGAAATAGAACTGACCAGCTGAATCCAGTGACCAGTTTTGTCTTTCAAGAGTATCAGAAAACACTTCTGTAATAGAAATATTCCACGTTGCTTCCTTCTGTCACCAGATTTTAATGTTCTGCCTAGGCTATCAGCAGCAAGTCAGGTACTTTCCTTTTAATTTCTTCCTGTGATCTTGGAGCCAGTCCCTTGGGCTCCAGGGGGCTGTAACCAGGCATGATTTCCATAGGATGCTGAAACAAAAATCAGCATATGGGGACTGTTCTCTTCCGCTGCCAGGATGGTTGCTTATTTTGGGATGCTTTCTCTGTGTTTGCAGAGTCTGTGCCTGCTGTTTCTGTTGGCAGAACCTTAGAGTTTATTTTTCTCCCGTGTCTGCTTTCCTATCCATGCTTCCAGAGGCAGTGCAGGGTTTCATGTCCTTGGGAATCCTGCTTTTTAAATGTGGGCTGGAGTGTCTGGGGGCTTCTAGCACCATCAGCTGTTCAAAACAGCGCTGAGAACAGGCAGCCAACATGACCTGGTGGGAGGTGGCCCCAGGCCTGGAGGAGTTGTGTGGTAGGGCTGTCTCATGTCAGTGAGGGTCTGTCTAAAACTGCCAGAACCACTGACTCCCCTGATGGTAGATGTTTGTAAGAAGACACAGGGCAGAGGCAGAAGCGAGGCTGTTCCCTTATTTCCCACTTTGCTGCTGCAGGAAATAGCAGGGGGCTCAGTGTCACGGCCTGGGGAGAGGATGGATCCCTAGAGGGCAAAGGAGCATCTCTAAAGGACAGCAGTGAGCTGCTTCTGTGGGGAACAGATGCTGTAGCGTATCCTGGTGTGCTTGCAAAGGAGTGATGGGGAGTCTCTTAGTCACATCCACCCCTCTCTCCCACAGCCCTCTTGAGGATTTTGCTGCTCTGGGCCAGGTAGTGCAGCTGTAAGGCCGTGCATCTGCTTGGTGGGATGAGGAGGCTGAAATCTTTAGAACTGCTAGCTGAGGAGCCCCAAATGGCTGCAGGTGCCCTAGGGTTGCTCTCTGGATGGTTGGGGCTGCTCCTCTCTGCCTCTGGGGGTTGGCTCCTCACAGCAGTGCAGCTGTGATGAAGTTTGTGGGAGCACATGTGAGCACCACATGTTCTTGTATGTTTGAGGATGAGCAGAAAGATAGTCTAAAAATGCCCTTTTGGGAGCCTCTGAACTGCACTCCAGTTCTCAACAGGGAGTTTGTTGCTGCTCTGGTGCCGGCGGCACTGGCACACTCTGCTCTGGAGTAGGGAGCACTCCCCATTCTGCTGAGGTGGGAGGTGATGGCAGCTCTGACGGTGGTTGCACAAAGAAGTATGAGTCAGAGTCCTGAGACTGGGAGACTGGGGCCTGGGACAATCCATGAAGTCAGTGAAATAGTGGGTTACCTGATGAGGTGACTGCTTGGGCAAAAGCAATCGAGGATGGACAGACATGCCCCTTGAGTCCAGTGCTTGTGTGGCTGGTGGAGCAGCTCTTCCCTGGTGGCTTCAGGGGGTCCTTTGGGGGCTGGTGCGTGTGGCCAGGTGCAGACACAGGACTCCTGTCTTCATGAGCAGCCAGGTGCAGCAGCTGCTTGTGCTATTGTCAGTCCTTGCCGTGAGAACTTCCCACTCACCGTTGGCTACTCATCCCCGGGCATCTCCCTAGCAGAGCTAAACTGCCTGTGGAAATGGAGGGAAACCAGCTGGGTGCCTGAGAGGTGACAGGTGAAACCTTCCTCTTGGGCAGATGGGCTGTGGCTGATGCCAGGGCATCGCTTGCCTCTCGAGGCCTTTTCCCTGCCCTGAGGCCAGCCCAGAGGTGCTGGCGAGGCGCAGCCTGCATGTGCCCTGCTCGGCTGCAGAGCCCCTGCCCGCTCTGCTGAGCGCCGGCAGAGGGATGGGGGCTGAGCCAGGGCAGCCGCTGGGTTTGCCTCGACTTCAGCTTCCTTCCCTTGAGTCCTCTTGCTCGTCCCTTACAGCCTTTCCCCAGGGCTGAGCCCGAGGCTTTGCAAAGAGAGCAAGCGGGGTCTGTGCCTGCCTGTGTGCCTTCAGAGGAATTTACTGTAGTTCGGGGCTTGCAGGCAGGCGTTGGAGGGCAGCGTCGGGCTCTTTGTAGCTTTTATTTGCGATTCCCTTGCTGTATTATGCAGGAATGAGCCCAGTGTAAATGAAGGCACTCGAAGTGGACAGTAGTTATTTTTTTTCTGATGCGTGGCCGGTGGGTTGGCGTTTCGGGGGCTCTCAGGGAACCTTCCCTGGGGAAGCACGGGCAGGGCGCCCGCTGTGCCACGGCACCGCCAGCCCAGCCAGCCGCCGCTGCGGCCGGTGGCCGCGGGGAGGAGACGGAGGACCGGGGATGCGGGAGCCCGGGAGCGAGGCAGCGGGGAGGAGCATCATCCGGCTGGGGCTTTGCCCTCGGAGGCCGCTGCAGCGAAGGCTGGCGAGCGGGGCCGTGCCTACACCGACACCCTTGAGCGCCGCCATCCCCTCCCCTCTCCTGGACCTGCGCGGGGGGGGTTTGTAATCGCTGTCCCGAGGGCTTGCGTGCCCGGTGTCCCTCGCTAGCAGAGCACAGGGCCATCTCCCGGGGTGGCAGGGCACGGAGTGAAGGGGTGGGAGTTGCTCCAGGGCCCCTTTCTGTGGTCCAGCCTTTGTGGGAGCAAACTGCTGCCACATTTCAGCTGCTATAAAGGGGCAGAGTGTTTGGTTGCACAGGCTCCCCTCCTTGGAGCGCGCGTGATGGGCCAGTTTACAGAGGTGTGGTTTGGTACAAGGCAGAGTTTATTCCCTGTCTTTTCTCAGCCAGGTCCCGGAGGGCACTGGGTGCCCAGGGAAGGAGCTGTGAGGGCAGGTCCCCTATCCCCAGGTGGGGTGGCAGCAAGACACAGCCAAGGGCACACCCGACAAGAGGCTACGTGTGTCCTTCAGCCCTTGGACTTGCCCAGAGTCCTGGCCATGCTGGCTACTTTCACACGCTACCTCACACTGCTCTCCCCAACCCTCACCCTGGCCGGGGGGCACCATTCTCTGCCAGGGGAAAAAGATGGTGTTTGTTCCCCAGCTCGCTCCTGCCCAGTGACTGATTGTGCACACACAGGGCCCTTTCAGCATGGGGAGAGGAGGGTGATGGCATCTGGGAATGCAGGGAACAAAGGACCCCATTGACGCTGGCTGCAGCCCCATGGGTTTCTGTGAGCCCAAGGCAAGGCCGGGGTGCAGGCACTGACCTGGGGCAGCAACAATGCATGAGCTAAACCTCTCCTGGCTGGGCTGCTTGGGAAGCCTTGCTGACTGCCTGGAGGGGGCTGAAGCCAGGGGAGAGAGGGACAACTGGGATTTGGGCTAGAGTCCCATTTAGGAAGAGCAGTGAGGGTCCTGCCTTGGGTAGGTAACAGTCTGCTGGCTCTTGGCCCTCCCTGCAGCTCGTGGGCACCTAGCCGTGCCTGAAACCTGCCTCTTGGGCAGATCTGCTGCACATGGAAGTGGTGCCAGAGCTTGAGTGTGGGGCTGGGAGCATCCCTCCATGGCCTTGCTCCCCAGAGGCTCCTGAGCACAGCTCTTGGGGGGAATTTCTAAGAGAAGCAACATCTGAATCAATAATTTCTGAGAGCTGCTGCAGAAACGTGCATATAAGGGCAGCATTCATCTGATCGGGGGCAGAAAGACACGAGCTGATACACACCAGCACTGTGCAAGCTGTTAACTGCCCTGGGGCAAATGGCACAGAGCCATCCGCCAAGCGCATGTAGAGCCCTGCGATGGTCAAATCTGCTCTCGTGCCTAAACGGGACCATCCTATTTCACACAGGGCTCTTTGCAGGTGAAAGAATCAGGCATCCTGCGTGGCTCTGGACGTGCTTGTACCTCAGGCATTGCCTGACGTGAGCAGAGAGCTTTGCTCCAGCCGTGCCAATTAGCCTTATTGTGGTTGCCCTATAGGTGCTACGTTAAGAGACGAGTGTTAAGGGGCAGCAACACATCACCAAGCACAAGCCAGCAGCTCCTGTGAGACCCCAACTTTCCTCTGGGTGGCTGGAGGAAAAATAGAGGTTTTAAGGGCTCCCCAGCTGGGAACAGAGATTTGGAAGTCAGGGCAGACAAATCCTCATGGCTGGAGTGGGAAGGAGGAGTGGGCAGGATCCTGCAGGGGCTGCTGGACCGCACACTGGGCTGGATGCTGCCCCTCTATGACCTCTGCAGCCTCCCTTTCCCTGCTTTTTTTTTTTTTTGGCGAGGTGGGGTGGGAAAACCAGCAAAACAAATGGACAGACAGACATATATCTTGTTCAGAATGTTCTTAATTTTAATTTATTTTCTTTAATTTTTATAAAATACATCTTGTAAGATAAGTCTCTAAAAACTTGCTCCTTTTTATTGCTTGTTAAGAAGTTGAAATTCTAGATCAGAAATGAAGGAAACACTTTCAGTTGATTAACTCTGTGTGTGTGTGTGTATGTGTGCGTGTGTGTGTGTGTTTGGGGTCTGGGGACGAGGATGGGAAGGAGGATCTGGTTATTTTTTGTTAAATAGATACCAAAAAGACCCCAGCAAACCCCCAAGAGAGATAGCG